CTTATTTTAGATCAATTTAAGATAATAAATGACAGAGGCTGGAATTTGAACCCAGGTTTCTTCCCATAGTACCATACTGCCTTCTAGTCAGAGTCTAGGCTGGGAGGGAATGTATATTACCTGGCACCCTATGAAAAATCAGACTCTGAATCTTAGGCCTTGCTAGCCTGATTTGGCCTCCCAGGGCACCATTTCTTCCATTCGGAGGCTGTCCAAATGACAAGAATGTTAGATCCTTGGGGCCAGAGAACCTGGGTTTTAATGTTACCACTATTATCTCTAACTCAATTTCCTCACCTCAGGTAAGTTGTTTAACCTGCCTAGGCCTCACTTGCCTCATCTGTCAAATGGGAAAGGGAATAACACCTACCTTATGGGATTGTTGTAAACCTTAGGTTGCTATATACATAGGAGCTAGCCAGGAATAGGATCACAAGGTCATAGCTTTAAAACTAGAAGGGACCTTGGAGGTCTCCAAGTCCTACCACCTCATTTTACACATGAGGAAACTGAGGCACAGAGAGGTTAAGTCAAGAAACATTTATTGAACACTTACTGTATGGCAGGCATGGGGTTTAGTCCTGGGGATGCAAAGAAAGGCTCAGAAAGGGGAACTCCCAGTCTAATGAGGAAAACAACATGCAAACAAGTACCATACAGACCAGAGATGATCAATAAAGCACCTGGAAAGGCTTCTTGCAGAAGGTAGGATTTCAGCTGAGACATGAAGGAAGCCGGGGAGGCCAGGGGACAGAGGTGAGGAGGGAGAAAATTCTAGGCATGAGGGACAGCCAGGGAAAATGCCTGGAATTGGAAGAGGGGGGTATCTTGTGTGTGGAATGACAAGGAGGCCCGGGTCATGGAGAATGTAGAGAGGAATATGGTGTGAGGAGACTGAAAAGGTAGGGGAGGACCAGGTTAGGAAGGACTTTAAAAGTCAAATGTAAGATTTTCTATTTGATTGTAGGCGTAATAGGGAGCCAGGAGTGTTGACTGACAAGAGGTGGGGGGGAGGGGCCTGCACTGACATGTTCAGACCCAAAGAGAATCAGAACCATCACCAGCCTCCAGATTCAGGGCTCTTTCCAGTACAGGATGCTGTTTCTCCTAGGTCTAACAGTCTGTTCTGAGCCAGCCTATCTCCTTGGGTTTAGAAATCTGTCACATTCAATTACTAGTTCCTCTCCTGTTTTTTTTTTCCCCCTGCGGCCACAATTCAGCTTTGGGCCATTGGAGTGTGTTTTCTAGGGTTCATTCACAAAGGAAATAGAATATACAAAATGAGAAATGATATACCAGGGGAAGGTCATTAGAACTGCAGATAAAAGCAATCTACTCAGTTCCAGACTGAGTGGCACCTAAGCTTTCTAATCTAATCCTTAAATTAAATTCCTCAGGCTTAGCATGGCCTATGTTCTTTGCAAGGCCAGAAACCCCAAGCCAATATGCCAGGCTCCTTCACCGCTCCAGATGCGAATGGTGCCTCTCTCCCTCAGCTCCCTCCAACACTGCAGCACTGATCTGAGCATTCACCCATCTGTGCTCAATGGACCAAGCTTATTGGCTCATCTTTCCAATCAGACAGTTCAGAAACTACCAGATGGCAATGAGGGGCTGGGGGTGTTTACACTTCATGTTTCCATGGCATCATGTTTCTGATTGATTCTTCTTTCAATCAAGAGGGAAGAAAATGACATATAACCAATATAGGCCATAGTCCCATTGTCTCAGAAAAATCAGAATCATTCAACCCAATACTTGGCTCAACCTTGGAGTCTGAAAAACACAGCTCTGTGTATTGAAGTTGTGTGGTAGAGTAGAAAAAGGAAGAATTCAGAGTTCCAAGACCTGGGTTTAAATCCCAGCCTTGCCACTAGCTGGGTAAGCATGGGCAAATCACTAATCCTGTCTGAGTTTCAGTGTCCTGGTCTATAAAATTGCTGTTGTGAGGAAGGTCCTTTGCAAACCTTAAAGAACTATGGAAATATCAGCTCATTTAATGTTATTACACGGCCCCACTGCCATACTGCCCTCATAGTTAATGAAAACCTGGTCAAGGAGGGCCAATTTATTGTTGTTTGTCCTTCCTTCTAGAAGAGGACCATGACATCAGGAAGGTGATGCCATGACTTGCCAGTGAATTGGATTTAAGTGAGGGAGGGATGTGCAAAGTCACCAGCCTCACTTTCTCCTCTGGAGCCATCTGGGTCCAGTGGCAAGATATAGATCAGGATGACTGGAGATGGCCTGGGATGCAGTGGGGCACCTTGGCAGTTTGACTGAAGCAACACCCATTCAGTGATTAAGGTTAAGTAAGAAATGAGGCAAAGAATGGCCTCTTTTACCTAGTCAACAAAAATAAATCAGTCTGGGAGGGGAAGACCCTCAGGGTTTCTGGTGGAAAACAGAAACAATTGCTATTCACATTCACTCTGAGCCATAAGGGCCCCCAAAATGACCAGGTTTGGGACCTATTATTGGACAATCAAAGAGAGTCAGAGTGATTTGGGTTTAGGGCAGGTCCTTAAAGAAATCTAGCCCCTAAACTAAAGATATCAGAGATTAAAATTTACATTCCTTTAGGCAAAGCACCCACAGATGAAGGCAGTATGCCCTATGTGGACAGAGGGAGAAGAAGGAAAGGAAAGGAGAGGAGAGAAGAGAGGAGAGGAGAGGAAAGGAAGAGAGAGGAAAGGAAGAGGGAGGAAGAAAGAGGAAGAGAAGGAAGGAAAGAGCTGCATTGCCCAACTGGAACTGGACAGTTGGGTCTCAAACTGGGCAGTTTGTACTACTCACAGGTTGTTAGCAACATGGAAATGAACAAGAGAAGTCCCTGCTTTGTTTTCCCACTCCCCTGTCCCAGGAAAAGCACCAGCCCTTTCCCCCTTCTGACAGCAGAAAGTGAAGAGGAATTAAGAAGCCTTTGGATGAGGGTGAAAGAAGAGAGTGTAAAAGCTGGCTTGAAGCTTAACATCAAAAAAACTAAGACCTTGACAACTGGTCCCATCACCTCCTGGCAAATAGAGGGAGAAGAAATGGAAGCAGTGTCAGATTTTACATGCTTGGGCTCAAAGATCACTGCAGACAGGGATTGCAGCCATGAAATTAAAAGATGCTTGCTCCTTAGATGGAAAGCTATGGCAAATCTGGACAGCATACTAAAAAGCAGAGACATCGCCTTGCTAACAAAATCAAAGCTATGGTTTTTCTAGTAGCCATGTATAGCTGTGAGAGTTGGATTATAGGGAATTTGAGCACCACAGAATCAAATGGTGGTCCTGGAGAAGACTTTTGAGAGTCTCTTGGACAGCAAGAAGAACAAATCAGTCAATACTTAAAGAAATTAATTCAGGCTCTTTACTGGAAGGTCAAATACTGAAAGTGAAGCTTAAATCTCTTGGCTACATAATGAGAAGATGGGACTCATTGGAAAAGCCCCTGATGTTGGGAAAGATTGAAGGCAAAAGGAAAAAGGGACAGAAGAGGATGAGATGGATAGCTAGTGTCATGGAAACAATGAACTTGAACTTGAACACACTTCAAGAGATAGTGGAGGACAGAAGGGCCTGGCATGCTGTGGTCCATGGGGTCATGAAGAGTCGGATATGACTGAATGACTGAATAACAACAACTTCCCTCCCAGGTCCCCAAGTCAGTGCTGATCTGAGCCTATATTCCTTCCCTCCACCAGGACCTTGAGAGAAGATGCTTCTTCTTACCTTGTTTTTCATTTAAAACAGGAAGCATTTATAAGCCTTGTTTAGTGAGAGCCTTATAGACAAGAAAACTTCTGGGTTCTCAGGTTGAAAAAATCATAACATAGGGATGATATTATCATATCAGTTGCAGTCAGTCTCTAAGAGCTGGCCCTATCCCAGAGGCTCCCCTTCCTCATTCATTCATTCATTTATTTGATAAGCATTTATTAAGCACCTATTCCATCAAAAGTAAAGTTCAAGCAAAACTTACAGAAATGCAGGATTCTTGGCTATTTATGGGCCAAGGACCTATGGTGCATTTCAACTACTCAGTGCTGATGGAGCCACATTGATTAGTGATAAGGACATGATCTTAGAGAGATGGGCTGAACACTCCCATAGTGTTTTCAGCAGACCGTCCTCAATCAATGCTGAAGCCATTGACCATTTACTTCTGGTTTAAGTCAATCTCCCCCTAGCTGAATTTCCAACTGAAGAGGAGATTTTGGATGCCATCAGGCTCCTCTCCTATGGCAAAGCACCTGGTGCTGGTTCTGTTCCAGCTGAGATTTACAAGGTGGGGGTACAAGGCAGCTCATACAAAAGCTGACTGAAATCTTCTGGGTTATCCCCCAGGAATTCAAAGATGCTGCCATCGCCCATCTCTATAAAGGAGATTGTTCTGTGACAATCACAGAGGGGTCTCTCTCTTAGGCACAAAAGCACTGTACTCTCTGGGATACCAGGCAAATGAAGCAGTCTTTGCCCTCATGCAGCTTCTGACCCATTGGAGGGGGCAGAGGTTGCAATACACTCCATAGAAGGGGCAACTGATTGAAATCATTAAGAACCCAGCAATCATCAACAAAAATAAACATTACAAAAATCCAAAGTAATAGGCATAATATCCACAAGGTAATTACAAGGCATTTTCCTTTAGAAATCTCTGTACCTTTATCCTATTGGTTCTTCCTGCCATATAGAATTCAGTTAACCCTTAGGATGTAGCCATTATCAGTCACATTATAATCCTCACTGGGAAAGCCCCAGTAGGAGATAATTTCACTATATTCATGTAATAAGGACTTTGATGGAAAGACTGTTAGCTCTTCAGAGGACCTGGGTTTGAATCCTACTATTGCTACTTGCTACCTGTGTGACTTTGAGCAAGTCAAGTCTCCTTTCTGAGGCTCACTTTCCTTATCTGTAAAGCAAGGGCATTTGACTAGCTTAAAATCCTCCAATGAAATTATCTTTAAATTCTGTGATTCTTTGATCCCAAGATCTTTGAGAATTCCTTACCCCGGGGGTGAGTCTGGGTACAGCACGTTGACTTGGGACAATGTCTCCATGTAGGCACCAAAGTCGAAGGCAGGAGGGAACTCCTCGATGCAGGTGGATCTCAGCTCTCCAACAGAGCCACCATAGGAGAAGCCATCTGGAGCTGGAAAAGAAAAGTTAAGCTCTCATTCCCTGCATCCAGGAAAGGGAATGGCAATGGGTTTGAGAGAGTAGTAGCCACAGACCTTGGCTGGACATGTCTGGTGAAGGTAGTGGTAGAAAGAACACGTGTCTTGGTGTCTGGACAGGTGGGTTCAATGCCTGGCACTTATCACCTTGTGACCTCAAACAAGTTGCTTCATCAATATAAATGTCTTTCAACAATCAAAATGGGAATAATGCTACATGCACCATCCAACTCACAGGACTGTTGTGAGGAAAGCCTTTAAGCCCTACAGAAATGTGAATGGTGGTGATGATGATGATGATGATGATGATGATGATGATTAAGCAAAAGTCTGAGCTGAACAGGGTTAGGGTAGTCACACTGTTGAGGAGAAAAATTATATAACCAACTCAATTTTCTTCCTGTAGATTATTCAGTGTGAGCATTATCACTGGAGTATGTGGAGAAAGACTTATTTTTTCTGTACATGGTTGCCTCTCTCAAAGGCTATAATGGAAACTCATCTGAATATCTATCTGCCCAGGGAAAAAGAATTGGGGTTGTCAACTATCATCCTAGAACTGAATTGAATTGCTTTTTTGGATCATATTCCATTCTAGTATTATCTGGCTTCTCTATCAGCATGGAAAATAGAGAATTTGGCCGTTCTCTTAAATTTTATTCCTCCCCTGCCTTCGTTTGCAATCTTCTTCCTTCATAATCCAGCGACACCCAGGAAGGCACACACTTAGGTCCCCCTGAAGGTTTTGAGGAGATCTTGAAGCACCATGACTTCAGGGAGCCCACACTGCTGTAGGTGATACCTTGGCTTCCATTTCTTTATTTGTAAAATGGCGGCAAGGGAAGGATTGTTAGGTTAGATGAAGTCTAAGGTATCTTCTAGCCTCTGAAATTAAGATTGCTTCCATCTCTGATATATACTCTAAGGTTCCTTCTACCTCTAACATTCGATTTTTTAAAAATACTTTATATTTTAGGTCTCTTCTAGCATTGATATTACATCTCATATCCCTTCTGGCTCTATGGTTCCTAATTTCTCTGATGTTCTCTGTTCTGATGGTATTCCAGCTCTAACAGTCTGTGTTCTGAGATCTCTCAGCTTTAAAATTCCATGAATACTGTATGACTGTGCAGCACATAAGCTGAATTCCATTCAGTGACATCACGGTCTGGTGGCACCTGCATGAGCAGCTTCATTATTCTTTCTCTAAACCAGTAGCCTCTGAATGCCACTGTGTTCTCTTATCTCAGTTTATTTCACTTGTATCAGTCAGGTTAATCTCTCCATGCTTCTCTGGTAGAAGACCATGACAAACATCATGTTTGTTGTTTCTTTAGCATAAGTACTAGGCTGTTACATTCAGGGACCACAATTTGGTTAGCCATCCCCCAGATGATGGGCATCCATTTTGTCTCTAGTTCTTTGCCATCTTTAAAAGTTTTGCTATAAAAATGTTGGTGCATATAGAGTCTTTCCTTTTGTCAATGACGTCCTTGGTGTATATACCTAGAAGTGCAATCTCTGGAGCAAAGGGTATGGGCAATTTATCCACATTATTTGCATAATTCCAAACTGCTTTATAGAATGGTTGAAATAATTCACAGTTTTACCAACAGGGCATTAGTGTGGCCCACAGTTTTTGGCTCAGTGCTTTGATTCCAACACTGTCTCCATCTGTAGGAAGGTTGGTCTGACACCCAATAGGGGAAGTGGCTGCAGTTGATTAAGGGAGGATTCCCATCTTGAAATAAAAGTTAAAATGAAATACTTAGCTTAGCCTAGTGAAACAGAATACACAGAGCCAGGGCCAGTGGGATCTTGAACCACAGAATCTCAAGGATGGAAGGGACTTTTAAGATGATCTAGTCCAACGTCTTCATTTTATGGACGAGAAAACTGAGGAGGCTCATGGGATAAAGATAGTGCTGGGTCTGAAGTTAGGAAGACCTGAGTTGAAATTTGACCTCAGACACTTGGCTGTGCAATGTTTGGCATGTCACTTAACCTCTGTTTGCCTTAGTTTCCTCCTCTGTAAAATGGGAATAATAATAATAGCACCTACCTCCCATGGTTGTTGGGTTGCTCCAATGAGATAATACTTGTAAAGCATTGAGCATAGTGACTAGCACACAGTAGCTATTATATAAAAGTTAGCTAGCAGTTAGTAGTAGTAGTAGTAGTAGAAGTAGTAGTAGTAGTAGTAGTAGTAGTAGAAGTAGTGGTAGTGGTGGTGGTAATGGTAGTATTAGTAGTAATACATAGTAGGGCTGACATTTGAATCCTGACTTCTAGCCCAAAGTTCTCTCTGCTGTACCACATTGCCTCCCAGGCACAGCCACCCCCTAGGTATGCCTGTATCCTGTGCGTGTGTGTGTGTGTGTGTGTGTGTGTCCCATGCCACAGATTCACAATGGCTGTCACTCTAGGTAAGGAGAGGAGGGCCCTGGAGGTGGTCCCTGAGGTCAGGCAGAGGCTTCTGGGCTCTACTGAGTTTCTAAGCTAACCCACCATCATGTTCTACTCATCCCCTGTGCAGCACCAGGGTTTTTGTTTTGGGGATGGGCTAGCTAGCCAAATAGATCAAAGACTAATTTACTGATGCACTGAGTCGGCTGCACAGAAGGTCAGGGCCTCCAAAGGTGAAGCAGAGAATCAAGAGTGGAGCAAATCTGTCTCCCTGAGCTTCTGACTCACCTGGGATCATGCCACAATGCCAAGGGCATCCTCCCTCTGCCTTCCTGGCAGCAAGAGCCTCCTTTGTGCCTTGAGGCATTGCAAACAGTGACTCATATTAATAATGGTAAGAATAACTCCCAATTACATAGGACTTCAAAGCAATTTAGGCCCATCATCTCACATTAGCTATATAACCATGGCTAGGTCACTTAGAGCCAATGGGACAGAGCAGGTGGGACAGAGAATGCAGAATGCTGGACCTGGAGTCTGGAAGAGTTGAATTCAATTCCTGCTTCACACACCGGCTAGTTATGTAACCCTGAGCAAGTTATCCTCTATCAACTTCAGTTTCCTTATCTATAAAATGGGGAAAATAATCATTCCCAGGGTTATTGTGAGGATCAAATGAGATAACATATATAAAGAGTTTTTTGAATCACAATATAAACATGAATTATAATTATTAATAACCCCTCTGAGTCTCAATTTCCCCACATGTAAAATTATTATTATAATACTTGTCCTATCTAATAATATATGAGAAAAGTCCTTGGTAAACCTTATAGTACTATAGACATGGTAATTATTATTATTATTAATCCTCACAGACACACTATGAGGTAGGTAGTACGGATATCAACTCTATTTCACATATGAGGAAACAGAGGCTCAGAAAGATTCATGGGATCACAGAATCATAGATTTAGAGTTGCACGGGACATTAGAGGCCATTGGATCTAAATAGATCAAAGCTGAGAAAGGTTAAATGATTTTCCAAGGAAATAGAACTAGAAAGTCTGAGGTAGTATTTGAATTCGGGTCTCCCTGACTCCACTGATCCACCTAGCTGCCTCCAAGTTAAGTGGCTTGCCCATGGACACATTACTAATAAATGTCACAAAGAAGACCTAAACCCAGGCTCTTTCTTACTCAAGTACTAGCCTTCTTCAGTCCTTTTGCCCTGCCTCTTCCCGGGCAGCATCCACCATCAAAGAGAGTGTGAATCCCTCCACAGCCATCATAACATTGTTGGGCTGCTGGGTTGTATGTTATCTGTAGGAACATTTCCCAATCTGTCTCTTTTACTGTTCCCTCAAGCCTCAGGGTGAGTTTTTTTTTTTTTTACAGTCTTTTTTATCTTGTACATGTCCTCATTTTTCCACTCGATCCAAACTGTCTCTGCCAGGGCAGGCAATCTGATATGGCACATGCCAACTTATCTCCCTGACACCATAATGTCCTGCGTCTTCTCTGGATGTCTAAACCCTTGTACTCACACAGCTTAGTGAGTGTGAATGATTACAGATCACAGCATGTTTTAAAGCTGAGGGAGACCTGAAGACCATTGAATCCAACCTTCCTATTTGACAGATGATGAAATTGAGGCTTAGAGATGGGGTCATGGTCAAGGTCATTCAATGACTTGGTGGCAGAACTGGGACTCAAGCCCAGGTGTCCTGCCAGGATTCCAAATGGAAATGAATTGAATTCATTTAAATAAATATCTATAAAGTGCCTTACTGTGCACAAGGGACCTGGGGTTGGTCTTGGGGATGCAAAGATGAAAAACAACACTCCTTTCCCTCAAAGAGTTTTCAATTTACCAAGAAGGGATAGAGGCCATGTATACATAGAAATAAGATACAACATAGCATCTGATAGGGACAAAGTAGAGATTCAGGCAAAGTGAGCTGGGAAAATCTGAGGAGGGAGAGTACTTCCATCTGAAGTAATAAAAAAAGGCTTCATTGAAAACGTAGCCACTCTTTGAAGGAGGAGATGGAAACAGAGAGGCAAGTTGAACTGAGGACATTCTAGGCATGAGGGATGGCTTCTATGAATGTACAGAGGTGGATGACGGAATGTCAAGTTGCAAGAACAGTCAGTTCCAGTAATCCAGTAGTCCAGTTGAGTTGGAATGGAGGGTATATGAAGGGGGAATAATGTGAACAAGGGTGGAAATGCTCTTTGGAGCCAGGTTGTGGAAGGCCTTCAATTTTAGGATAAGGAGCAATATTTATGCACCACATATGTTCTATTGGTGATACAATTGTCTTTCTAATGTACCAGTATGATTAGGCCACTCCTCTATTCCAAACTTAGGGTAGCTTTCCACTGCTGTTGTTGTTCAGCCTTCATTCTCAAAGAGGACCAATGACATCAGGAGGGTGATGTCTCGACTTGACAAGTCAATTGGATTTAAGTGAGACAGAGCTATGCAAAGTCATCAGCCTCACTCTCTCCTCCAGAGTCATCTGAGTGTAGAGTCATGCAAATGCCTTCTTGTAGCTGGCAAAACACAGGTCAGAAATGACTGGAGATAGCCCCAAACGCAGTGGGAGAGCTTGGCCTTTTTAAGCTAATGTCTTTCCCAGGTCTCAGTTTGTCTGAGGCCATTCAGTGATTTAAGGCTAGGTAAGAAATGAGGCAAAAGATGGTCTAGTTTGCTTACTCAAAAAAAAAAAAAAAATCAGCCTGGGAGTGGGGAAAGAGCCTCAGAGTTTTTGGCCAGAACAGAAACAATTGCTATTTACACTCATTCTGAGCCATCAAAACCCAAACAATGACCAAGTGAGGTTTGGACTGGAACCTGTTATTGGCCAATCAGTGAGAGCCAGAGTGATTTGAGGTCTAAAGGCATAGTCAAATAGCTCCATTTGAATCCCAGTGGGCTTTATCAAAGTCTGGTTTTCCAAAGCTCTATTTCAAGAAATCATAAATGAAATTACATGAGACAAAAGAATTAATTGTCCCAGTTTTTTTTGAAATGATAGAATAAATATTTAGTGAAGAGAAAAATAAAAGAAAAAAGAAAAATAAATCTAGCCCCCAAACTCCAAAATATCTTGCAAGGTTTAGGTGATTTGGTAGAACATCCACATGTATAGATATGTTTTAGGGTATGATTCCCCATGTGAACAGATGGAGAGAGAAGGAAGGAAGGAAGGAAAGAAGAAAGGAAGGAAGAAAGGAAAAAGCAAGAGAGGGAGGGAGGAAGGAAGGAAGGAAAGAAAGAAGGAAGGAAGAGAGGGAGGGAGGAAGGAAGGAAAGAAGGAAGGACCCTCTATTGTTGAGTAAAGAAGAAACTTGCAATTCTGCCTTTCCAAAGTCTCCACAGTTGCATGGTAATCTACAAGTCCAGTCTCATCTCAAGTATTCTCCATGCGTTCTATGTTCCAGCTTAACCTTCCTTCTCTGGTTTTCCTCTTGCCCCATCCCATCTCTGTGCTTTTGCTCAGGCCATTCCTCATGCCTAGAATGTTCTACTTCTTCCAGGAAGCCTTCTTGGAAGCCTCCACACCACCCTTCACCCCTGCCTCCCCACCCTCCTCCCACTCTCTCAAGTATCTTACAGCACTTAGCAGGGAACTCAACTTTGGAGGTATCTCTCTGTCTCTTGCACTATATATAGTTGTATATTTCTTCTTTGTTTCATTAGACTGTAAGCATCTAGACTGTAAGCTTGTACTACATGAACCACTATTTTCCTAGTGTTAGGCCCAGGTCCTTAGACATTGCAGGTACTTAAAAACTATCCATTGAACTGAACTGAGCCATATGTCTAAAAGACTCTCTTCATTAGATAATGAAGCAATGAAGAGAAGCTCACTATATAACAACAATTTTAAGTTTCTTTAAAGGTCATGGGAACATACTTTAGAACTGGAAGGGATGTCAGAAGTCACCTAATCTAACACCCTCATCTTACATGTAAGGCAGAAGGGAATGGGCATTTATATAGCACCTACTATGTGCCAGGCCCTGTGCTAATCACTTTAAAAAAAATACAATCTCATTTTATCCTCATGACAACTCTGGAATATATAAGAAAACAGAAGCCCAGAAAAGTTTAATGAGTTGCCCAAAGTCACATAGATAGTAAGTGACAGGTAGAATTGGAACGCAGGTCCTCTGACTCCAAACCCAAATTTCTCATGTACCATGAAGCCTTCTGTAGATACTTATAATGTGTATTACTCATTATTTTTAGTAGAAGTAAGTCATTATGCTTTCGTCAGGGGGACTACAGCATGGATCCTTTTGATAAGCCCAGCTTCCTGGTATGAAAGGGGATTTCTGAAGTTAATATTCAACATATGTTACAAAGAGCTTTAATTTCTAAAGGGACAGACTCTTACTTAAATAATGGACTTTCTTCAAAGGAGCATAAATGGAAATGCAAGGAATAAACATGCTATTTATTCTTCCCCATTTTACAGTTGGCAAAACTGAGGGAGAAAGAGGTTAAATGACTCACCTGGGGTCACACGGGTAGATTTGAACTGAGGTCTTCTTGACTCCAGACCCCAGTGTGCTATCCATTGAGTTACCTAGCTGCTGCTAAATGCTAAAGAAGTACTTAGTAAAGTAATATGGGGCATTCAGAGAGGGAGTAATAACTTTCCACTGCGGAAAATCAAGGAATTCATGGAAGAAGTGGCACCTGGGCCTTAAAGAATAGGTAGGGTTTCAATTGGCACTAGTCTTCAGCCATCACGTTTGAATGAACATATGTAGATAGTGTAGTGGACAGAGTCCTGGGCCTGAAAGGCCTTAGACACTTACTAGCTGTGTGACCCTGGGCAAGTCACTTAACCACAGTCTGCCTCAGTTTCCCCAATTGTAAAATGGGATTAATAAGAGTATCTACCTCCCAGAATTGTTGTAAGGATCAAATGAGATAATATTTGTAAAAGCACTTAACATAGTGCCTGGTACATGGTAGGTTCTTAACAAATGCTTATTTCCTTTCTCCTTGCTCTCCTCGTTGAATAGAATGTATCCCAGGGGAGCGGCAAGAATCAATGACTCAATATATTGTTTTTCCATGTTTTTGGCAGGGACACAATAAGTTACACTGGAACTTTGAGGGCCACTGTTTGGGGGTGCTCTGGACACAAATGGAAGCCTCTTCCACCAGTTGCCTCAATGACTTATGACTTGAAGAGAGGGATAGCAGAATGATTGGATTTATGGTCAGAAGATCTGAGTTTTAGTCCCAGGTCTATCATGAGATTGTGGGAATTCGGGCAAGTCACATTACCCCTTTAAAGCCTCAGTTTCCTATCTGTTTGAGGACGACATTACTCTAGACCAGAGGTGTCATGGTGGCCAGCAACAATCCCAGTGTGGACACTACTGCTCTAGATCACTGAAATGCCTTCCAATTCTAACATTCTAAATTCCACGTCCTAACATTCTATGTTCTCAAGTCCCTTCCAGCTCTAATTTTTGGATGCCATTTATTAGTCACTGGGGTAATTGGCTTCAACCTCTGGCTGCTCTCCCATTGAGCTCTTGAGGCCAAGTGAGGGCTTGTGATGCTCTGGGCATCCAGGGACTTGGACTGATCTAGAAGGGAAGGGTCACTTCTCTCTTACCATAGGTGGGGTCCCTCCTCAGGTGTGGGTGGTTCCGGAGTCGCCCATCCTTCCGCAGGCTGCCCACAATGATGGTCACACAGGACAGAAATAGCACCAGGCCGATGACCACCCCAGCCACCAGCAGAGGGGACACCAGCAGGCTGGGGTCGCCAGTGCTCTCTGTGAAGACTGGGTACTTGTTGATGGGGCCGCTCTGGTTGGAGTGAATTTCTGTTGGCAGGGATGATGAGGGGAAAAAAAAGACATATGAGCACAGCTGGTAGATAGGGGAATCAATTCTACCTTAGCAATGCCTCATGAATCCATCATTTCTTTATTCTCAGGGCCATAACCCTAATTCTAGCCCTCATCATCCCTCAACTGAACCATAATAACAGCTTATATTTCTTTAGCATTTTAAGTTTTACAAAGTGGCTTCACCAAAACAACCATGAAAAATAGCACAATTGCTATTATATCCATTTCAAAGAAGAGAAAACTGAGGATAAGAGGTCAAATGACTTGCCTATGGCTACATAGCTGGTATTGGAAGAATAAGGTAAGAGGGGGCTGCTAGATGAGTAGTAGATGGAGCACTGGCCCTGAAGGCAGGAGGACCTGAATTCAAATCTGGCCTTAAACACATACTAGCTGTGTGATCCTGGGCAAGTCACTCAATCCTGTTTGCCTCAGTTTCCTCATCTATAAAATGAGCTGGAGAAGGAAATGGCAAACCACTCTAATACCTTTGCCAAGAAAACCCCAAATGGGGTCATGAAGAGTCAGACATGACTGAAAAACAACAGCAAATGTAAAATTGCTAAGGGTAAAGTTGATTGAGTTAAATCCATCAGGTAAGCCCAACCCACTGAAAATGATAAGGTGTCTACGGGCATACAGCTTGATGAGGTGAGAACAAATGTCATTTGACCAATCACTCAAAGACTTTAGATTAAATGTGAAATTCCTTGGATGTACTAGAGTGATATTACTAGGAAGAGCATTCTGATTGGCTGAGGAAACTTAGTTATGCTCTGTGGGTCATCTCTGAAGTTGAAGACCAATTCAGAACCCAAGTGAGTGGCAAGAAAGGAGACACCATTTTTGATAACTCTCTGAGAAGCTGCTTGGGATGGGGAAGAAAGGACTTTGGCCTGGCCTTGGTTTGACTGTGGAGGAGGACCTTGTAAGTTTTAAAGGGTCAAGAGATCTTGAACTTCCTTTATTCCCATTAGTATTCTAGCATAGTCCCTGGGATAGCAACCAATGGAGGTGAAGTCTGCATTGGGAGCCAAGGACAGATTGATTGATCCTGATTGACTAATTGAAAACCAACCCCTAATCATGGCGAGAAGCATACTGGTGGGTGCTGGTGAACTCAACAGTACTGCAGAGATGACCTCCACCCCCCAGAGGCCTGAGGAGACATAATAGCCACACCCTAGGGACCTGACTAGTCAGTCAAATAGAAGATGGGATAGGAGCTCTGGAGCACAAACTTCGTGATTAATATTGCACCTGCTGTAGCTTCCCTTTTAAATTGTAAGCTCTGTGAGAATTTTGTCTTATTCCTCTCTGCGTTTCCTCCTATGGCTATCTAACAGAAATCCTGGTGCACAAGAGGCTTTAGCTAAAAAAAAAAAAAAAAAAGATTTGTTGAATTGAATGTGGGGCCTCAGTTCCCAGAGGATTTCCAAGGCTGCCTCTGCTTTCTGACTCATATTCCAGATTGCCTTCCTGAATTATTTGACCCTCTCCCGAGGGGCGCCAGTTCAGCTAAGGCCCAGTCAATCTTTTGTGGCTTAGCAGATGTCATGTTGGGGCAAGATGTAGCCATCAGGTTCTGGGACTTTTAGCATCTGCTGACATTCTGGGCCCTTTTTCCCCTTCCCCCATTTGCTGTGGAGCTAGAGAGGACTAGGGGCTGGAATGAAGTCAGTAAAAAAAGAAAGTCAAGCAATGTCAAGGTACACTTATATTAGGCTATTAAGGACCTATGGGCACCAATCACAGTGGGAAGAGAAATAAGATAAAGGATTCATGTAAGTCACAGAATGTTAGAACTGGAGCTGTTAGACCTAGAAAGGGTGTTAGAATGGAAAATGTTAGAACACAGAACATAGAACATCTGGATGTGTTACTCCTTTCCAGATCCCTTTTCTGTGTTGGTCTTCCTCCATTAGAATGTAAAGGCAGAGACTGTCTTGTTTGTCTGTGTTTGTCTTCCCATCATCACCGATACCTGATACCTAGTATTTAATCAATGTTTATCTCTCTGTCTCAGTCTCCCTCTTCCTCTCCTTTTCCCTTTCCCTCCCTTTCCTTCTCTCCCTCTCCTTTTCCCTCTCTCTTTCTTTTCTTCTCTCTCTCCTTCTCCTTTTCCCTCTCCCTCCCTTTCCTTCTCTCTCCTGTCCCTCATCATCTCTTTGCCCCCTCCCTCCCTTTCCTTCTCTCTTCTTCTCTCTCTCTTCCTTCCTTTCCCCTTCCCCTCTTCCTCTCTCAGCTATGGAACGTAAAATGGAGGAGCTGGAAGGACCTTCAAGACATAGAAGTGATCACCTAGTCCAGTCTCCTCATTTATGCAGTCCCTGACTTTAAAAAGGCTTATAATCTCCTGGGGAAATAATATATGTTTGCATATAACTAAGATTCAAGGAAATGAGATAAGTGCAAGGAAGGGATTTTGTTGTTCAGTTGTGTCTGATTCTTCATGACCCCATTTGAGGTTTCATTGGCTTGAGATACTGGAGTGGTTTGCCATTTTCCTTCTCCAGCTCATTTTACAGCTGAGGAAACTGAGGCAAACAGGGTTAGGTGACTTGCCCAGGGTCACATAGCTAGGAAGTGTCTGAGGCCAGACCTGAACTCAGGAAGATGAGTCTTCCTGACTCCAAGCCAAGTGCTCTATTCACTGTGCCACCTAGCTGCCCAAGGAAGAGCTACAATATCCTAAAGATTTCAGCGAAATCTTCCTAGTTTGGGGGATTTAGGTGGCATCTGAGCTGGACTTTCAAGGATAATGATAGTAATAGCTAGCATTCATATAGCTCTTTAAAGTTTATAACACACTTTATAAATATTATCTTATTTTATCTTTAAAACAACCCTGGAAGGTAGGTGTTATTATTATCCTCATTATACAGATGGCAAAACTGAGTCAGATAGAAAGTAAGCGACTTGCCCAAGGTCACCCAGCTAGTAAAGCTCTGAGGCAAGATTTGAATTCATGTCTTTCTGACTTAAAGTCCGGTACTCTGTTCTCTACACTACTCTGCTGCTGTAGGTTCTCAACAGGTAGAAAGGCTACGTGTGTGTGTGTGTGTGTGTGTGTGTGTGTGTATGTGTGTATGTGTGTGCGCACCACTAACGCCCATGTGCATATGTGTGTATATATGTGTGTGGAGGGGCTTGGCAGAGGGGTGGGGGAGGCTGGGTGGGAGAAGGGTAGCGAAAGTTAGCGACCCAGGCATAGTGAACAGTATGGGCAAACCCAGGATGGACAGAGATGATAGGACCATGGGAGCACAGAGCTAGAGCTGGAAGGATTATAAATGCCATCTAGTTCATGTCTCTCATTTTACAGATGAGAAAACTGAGGCACGTAGGACATAAATGATCTGTCCAAGATCACTCAGTTAGGAAGTCATTGCTACTTCCTAGAGCTTTGATGAACACGGCTGGCAGGTAAAGTGTGCAGGGGAGGGGGAAGTTGGTTGGAAAATTTTTGGAAAGGTCCATTGGAGGTGGCCCGGGGAAGCACCAGAATGGCCAGCTAAGGAGGCTGGTCTTCCTTTCACAGACAAGAGGATGTCTATAGAGGTTTTTTGAGCACAGACAATAAGAGGGAGTAGATGGGAGTAGGGACAGAGAATATCAGTTTAGGAAGCTGAATACAGTATCTCACTTTTATACAGCACTTTACTGTTGAGGGGGAAAGGGAACAAGCATTTAAGGACCTACTATGTGCTAGGCATTATGCTGAGCACTTTTACAAATGTGATCTCATCTGATCCTCACAACAACCTTGGGAGGGAGGTGCTATAATTACCCCCAATTTAAAGTTGAGAAAACTGAGGGTTAAATGACTTGCCCAGGGTCACCGCACTAGTAAGCTTCTGAAGCTGGATTTGAACTCAAATCTCCCTGATTCTAGGCACAGCCTTTATCACCTAGCTCATTGCAAAGTCCTCTCCTCTTAAGTACCCTGTGAAATAAGTAGTGCAAATATCATTATTCCCATTATATAAGGGAGTATACTGATGCTCAGGGAAGGAAAATTGCTTTCTCAGAGTCACAAAGAGAGCGCATAGGTCAGAGCTAGGATAGACTTGATGGGGAAAGATGGGTTAGGAGGTCATTATAACATTCCAGGTACGAGGTTCTTTCCCCCATCTCTTTCTGTCTCTCTCTCTCTTAGTCTCTGTCTGCCTCTCTCACTCTGTGTCTCCCCCATCTCCCCCATTTCTTCCACTTTCACCTCTCCCCCTCCCTCTCTGTCTCTCTCCCTTTCTCTGTGCCTCACTTCTCTCCCTCTCTCCCTCTCTCCCTCCCTCCCTCCCTCCCTCCCTCCCTCCCTCCCCACTCCCCTCCTTTGCTTCTCTTTGTCTCTCTGTCTCAGACTTGGGATTAAGGAGACCCACAGTACTTTTTCCCTTTGAGGGAGAGAAGCTTTGTCGATGCAAACGGGATGAAGGTCCTGAGACTTCCTTTTGCCCAAGTGGCCATGTGGGAGAGCATTTCTAGGCTTTCTGAGACAGCTTGCATGCCTTGTTTGCTAACAAGGGCCGCCAGATTGGAAAGCTGCCCTAAGTCGCTCTGATAGGCTAGGAAGAGGAGTAATTACTGAAGCCCGCCTGGTAACCTGGCTGTGATTGGAGACACAGTAGGAAGGAGAGTGGTCCATCCAGAAACAAAGTCTTCATTGTGCTCACTGTGGCTTGGCCAGCCAGACCAATCTGCCTGGGCACTTCCACCCATTCTCCTGGGCCCACTGGGGAGCCAGGGCAGGCAAAGGTGACCTCATTCCTGGACCACTTAGCATCTGAAACTCATCCAAGATCCTACCCATGGTCCTCCTGCTAAATCCTGAATCCCTGCAGGCCACAGCACATCTCACTTTCTGAATGAATCTCAGAATTAGCTGTTAGAGATGAAAAGAATTTGAGAAGGTTGAATATTAGAGCTTGACTCGAGAGACCTTAAAATATAGAATGTTAGACCACAGAATATCA